TGGGAACTGAACAATGAGATCACTTGGACTCGGGAAGGGGAACATCACACATCGGGGCCTATCATGGGGAGGGGCGAGTGGGGAGGGATTGCATTGGGAGTTATACCTGATGTAAATGACGAGTTGATAGGTGCTGACGAGTTGATGGGCGCAGCACACCAACATGGCACAAGTATACATATGTAACAAACCTGCACGTTATGCACGTGTACCCTAGAACTTAAAGGTTATTATAATAATAATAATAATAATAACAACAAAAAGAAAGATAGAATATGTTCTTTGTTTATGAAAATAAATAAGAGACTGCCTACGGATAATTTTTAGCTGAACCCAAAGTAAGACATTGCTTGCAAATGTTTTCCTATGCTTTTATCATTAACACAGTTTTGGAATCTGAATATTTCACTAAGAAATTTGATTGTGATATATTTCCAAATGTTTAATTTGTATTGCTTTTTGACAAACTTTTGTATATGGTTCCTGTAGACATGAATAAAGCATTTCCAACTAAAAAATAAAAATAAAATAAATAAAGGTACTTAACTGTCTATGCTTTGGAGATGACCTGAGGCTAATTATATTAGGACCATAGCACAAAATTACCATACTAGTCTGGCCAACATGGTGAAACCCTATCTCTACTAAAAATATCAAAAATTAGCCTGGTGTGGTGGTGGGCATCTGTAATCCCAGCTACTTGGAAGGCTGAAACAGGAGAATCACTTGAACCCTGGAGGTGGAGATTGCAGTGAGCCAAGATCATGCCATTGCACTACAGCCTGGGCAACAAAAGCAAGACTCCATCTCAAAAAAAAAAAAAAAGAAAAGAAAAGAAATTTTGTTCATGTTTGAAGAGAGAAGCATGACAGGACACATGAGAAGCAATATGAAAGCATATATTTATACTTCATTATATCATTATAAGTTGGAAACATGAAGTAACAAAAGTAATAAGTAATCTGATTCTTTAGAGATAAAGTAATGACACTTTAAAGTAACACCAGGCCAGGTGCAGTGGCTCACAGCTGTAATCCCAGCACTTTGGGAGGCTGAGGCGGGCAGATCACGAGGTCAGGAGATCGAGACCATCCTAGCTAACATGGTGAAAACCCGTCTGTACTAAAAATACAAAAAATTAGCAAGGCGTGGTGGCATGCACCTGTAATCCCGGCTACTCAGGAGGCTGAGGCAGGAGAATCACTTGAACCTGGGAGGTGGAGGTTGCAGAGAGCCAAGATCCCACCACTGTACTACCACCTGGGTGACAGAGCAAGACTTTGTTTCAAAAAAAAAAGAGGAACACCAATGTGGATATAAGAATTCTAACATTTAATGTCCATTCCTCCCTTTGGCTGATCCTCTTAATATTTCCCTACAGGTTGGAGCTGCTCCTGAACAGTTTCTCACTTTCAAATCCAATCCTCAAATAACTCTCACACTCAGCAAAAATAGCTTCCCTACCCTCTTCCCCTTTGTCCTTTCTGTCCTTATCATTTTGAGAACCAGCAGGGCCTCCTGGAACTCTATTTTTCTTTAATTTCTGACCTGCATTATGCATAAAAGAAGGAAGGTCTAATAAACTGACTCAGCAAATAATAATGCTTTTTATTTAGAACATGCAGAAAAGAAATGCCTTTGAATTATGATACACAAATCATCTTTCTCTATTTAATAATAACATATTAATAACAACATTAGATAAGTATCAGTATTATGTGACAGTCAATGCAACCGTTACAGAGTATGGAGAATAGCAGATATATTTGCATTGTGAAGCATAGGAAACTCTCCTTAACGGAGGCTGAATGTTCACTAGATCTTGAGGGAAGTGAAAATGTGAGATGACAGGCCAGAAAAGGCATCACATATAGTGAAATGTGGATAACGCCCCAGAGGAAAGAGAGCTGCAGGGACAGCACAGCAGCAACCAGACCATCTGCTCTTCTTCAGACAGGAATGAAGCACAGCTGGTAGAAGGGTGGCACAGAGGCAAGTCCATTTAAAACTGGAGTGGTGTCAAGGTCCTTTGGGTCAACCAGAGATTTCAGGTTAAAGTTCTGTAAAATGGAGGTCAGGAATAAAAACAGCTCCATGCGGGCCAGGCCTTCTCCCACACAAATCCGTTTTCCTGAAAATAGCAAACACAGAGAGCAGTTACTCCTCATGTGTAACTGTGACAGTGACAAACACTGTCTTTATAACTGGCACAAACAGAATATGCAATAACTGTTCAGTGAATCGTAGGAGGGATGAGGAGATAGATGGGTGGATGGGTGCATGCATGAATGAATGGATGGATGGGTGGATGGATAAATGGATGAATGGATGGATGGATAGGCAACTGAAAAATGAATGGACATACTCTTCACCTAATATCAGATCTTAATAGCCACCCTATACTGAACAAACATTTATTGAGTACCAGCTACATGCTAAGCACTTTATTAAGATCTTTCTACAGACTTTAAATGCCTTCGTCAATCTTTCTTTAGAAACATACATTCCTTGTCAAGTGGGTTGAACTGAGAAGGGCTTAGAGGAGGAAGCTAACATACTGTATTTCCCTTTGTATTTCTGGCTCAACATGCAGTCAAAGATTTTTTTTTCCCCTAGGTACTTTCAGGAGCACATGTCTAAACATGTCACCTTCTCACTTTAAAACTTTAAATAGCTTCCCTGTCTGTCCTATAGGATAAGGTCTCAATGGATTGACCTGGACCTCACATTCTGTTTCCAGTCTGATGATCCATATCACTACACTCTTCAAATCCGATACTGTCAACTCTAGGCATAGCCACTCGTCATCAGTCTCCAGCTTCAAGGTTTCAAGTTTTACAGCATGCTGCTCCTTTTGGTCAAGATGAACTTTTCTATTACCACAGTCAGGACATAGGTCAAATTTTACCTCCTTTTTTACCCTCTTTCTCATCTCCTTGAGCAAGAAAATGTTGCTTTCTCTGGGTTTCCTCAACATTATATTTATGCTTCCATTGAAAAATGTGCTATGGTCTGAATATGCCTCCCCCAAATTCATATGTTGACACATAATACCCAATGCAACATTACTAAAGAGACGGCTCCTTTTAGGAAGTGAATAAGTCAAGAGGGCTCTGTCCATGCTAAAATAACATCAAGAGATGCAAGGGAGCCATTTCTCCCCTTTTGCCTTTTTTGCCCTTCTGTCATATAAGGATACAGAGGGGGCATTATCTATAAGGAACAGGCCCTCACCAGGCACTGAACTTGTTGACACCTTGATCTTGGAACTCCAGCCTTCAGAACTGTGAGAAATAAATTTCCATTATTCATCAATTGCCTAGTCTTGGATATTTTGTCATGGCCAAAAAAACAGACAGCATGGGTCACCTACAATAATAATTACTGATTTATTTATTTAGAGTGTGATATGGTTAGGCTCTGTGTCCTTACCCAAACCTCATGTCAAATTGTAATTCCCAATGTTGGGGGAGATACCTGGTGAGAGGTGATAGAATCATGGGGGATGATTTCCCCCTTGCTGTTCTCATGATAGTGAGTTCTCATGAGATCTGGTTGTTTAAAGGCATGTAGCCTTTCCTCTTTGCTCTCTCTCTCCTGCTGTGCCATGGAAAGATGTGCTTGCTTCCGCTCTGCCTCCCACCATGATTGCAAGTTTCCTGAGGTCTCCCAGCCATGCTTCCTGTACAGCCTGTGGAACTGTGAGTCAATTAAAACTCTTTTCTTCATCAATTACCCAGTCTCAGGTAGTTCTTTATACCAATGTAAGAATGGACTAATACATGTGCCAAATGTGAATGCTTGAAGGAAGATTTCTTTTCTTGTTGTCTTGGTATCTACAGTGTCAGATATAAAGCAGATATCAAAGGCCACAGAATGAAGGAAGGAGATTCTATCACCAGACGCTCAGCACACACATTTCGGATGTGGAGATCCAACATCCAAGATACAAGGCCATGACTAGGGAAGAGCGTGGTGCTCTGCATCACTGCAGAGTATCCTGCTACATTCCCAATGTCCCCCTCATCCCATCTATGGTTATTTGGCAAAGGTTCTAATATCCGTTATTTAGAGCTAATGTCCTGCTCCTGTGGCTCATTATCTCCTTTAACAGCCCTGCATTCTCTTCCTTTCATCCTCTCTGCCTCCTCTGAGGTAGCTCAAATGTCTTCACTGCTATTAAAATGTTATTTATGCCTCACTTTGGGGTATAAGAGAACAAGAAGCAGACAGCTTTTCCATCTACCTCCCAAACCCCAACAGCCTGTTCTTTCCCATATCACAGCCTCAGTCCTACTGAACTACAATGATCTGTTTACTCTGCTTTCCAAACTCAGAAGCGAGCCTTTTAAGACCCTCTTCAGTGTTTGAGGATAATTTTATCCTACAGGCCCAGACTAGGGGGTGAGGGACACCATGTGGAAAACACTCAGTGAAGTTTTGGAGTGAGGTAACTTCCTCATGGCTAGTGAGGAAAATGTAATTAGTTTTATCTTCTAGGAGGAGTTCTTGGGTACCTCAGTGGTGTATCTAGAGGCAGAATTCAACCAACCTATACTTCAACTTTCGCAATTTGGAAGAATTGGATTAACTCCCCAAAGCCCACTAATCTGGCTCAATAATTAGGATGTATCATGAGCAGGGAGCACACAGACATTCAGAACAGTGCTCTTGATCGTGTACGAAAAGTAATTGTACCACTGCAGAGGAGGCACACATAAGTTCCAACTGATCAAAAAAGTTGTCTTATACCCTGAGACACAAATGGAAATACATTTATATTACCTGCTGAGAAAGGCATGAAGTAGTTACTTTTCTTAAAATTGCCACCTTCATCCAGAAAGTGACGAGGGTCAAACATCTCTGGGTTGGGAAATTCTTTGTTGTCATGTAGCACAGAACTCAGGGAAATTAATATGGTTGTGCCCTATAAACAAGAGACATAGGATGAACTGAGCTGTAAAGAAGCCATGAAGGTTGAAGAAACAGTGGTAATCACGTAGTTGAATCTTTTGATGTGCAGATGAGGAAACACCATTCCAAAGAAGAGCAGTACCATTTCCAGATGGATAGACCAAGTAATAATAGGCATGAGCTTAAGGTCAGTGAAAATAATCTTGCTAAAGTGCCCTGCAATCACATTTGAAGTCCTGAGTACTTGGATACTTGGGTGCAACCTTCTGAATCTGTCCTCCTTTTCATCAAGCTTGGACACTAGTGGCTGTCCACACTTGCTGCTCTATTCCATCACTTTGGTTTTCACCAACCTTATGTGTAGAGTATGACTTAAAGTTGAAGTCTCTTTTGACATGGAAATGGCCACAGTATCTGTTCACAGGGCATTTGTGAATAAACACATGATTGAGTTTCAAATGACGTCTTCTGGGATGATAACTAGTATAGTCACAAGTATAAAACTATCGAGTTCTTGTCATTGCCATGCAGTTTGTTTGTCTTCATTTAAAGATATGGGAGAGATATTCATTACAGATTAATCCTAGCTAAAAAATACAGAAGGAACGATGGAATTAGAAAGATCACCTATTTTTAACCATTCAGGTCAAGATCATCAGGTTAGGTGAGGATCATTAATGAAAGATAAAACTATTGGATGTGTGACTTGGGAAGCAGGGTGTTCAGTTTTAAAGTACCATGCCATAGATTTTCATCATTCACACATGAAAATCAGAACCCCTTCAATGAAGAGATCTGGCAGATTCCAACTTATTAGGTGAGAATCTTAGCATAACCAATAATGACATATGTGACATTATGTGCCCCTGCCTCACCATTGTGATTCAGTGGGATATTCAAAGTACTATGTAGTTTTCTTGCCAAAGTCATAACTGGAATATAATATCTAGAAAACAATCATACAAAATGAGCCTTAGGAAAATTTAAATGACTAACGGCCTCAACTCTTCACAGAGGTCAACATATCAAAAGGAAACAGAGGAAATGGACTCTTCTTGATTACGGGAGATGAAAATAACAGGACACTGAAATTATGTGCCTGTTTCTTGACTGGAGAGTGAATTGCAAGAAAAAAAGTGATTAACATATTCTTTAAAAATTGGAAAATTTTAAATATAAGCTGTATAGTTAATAATATTATTGTATTAATAACTCCACAGTATGAATGCTATTATTATTATGTAGGAGAAAACCATTGTTATTGTGCTATACATACTGAGGTACTGAAGCATAAATAGATGGATGGACAGATATCAAAGTAGATATATATACATACTGCCATATGTACATATACATATGTGTGTGTAATGTTACTTATTTTAAAATATTTTATAATAAAAAGGTGAGGAAAAATTCTACCCTCTAAATTTTCATATCAATAGTCTATAATTTAGTTTTTCAAAAATATTCCCTTGAATATTTATAAACAAGTACTATATTAAAATGTTATTAAGAACCAAAGCAGATTTATTTCAACAAATGTTACTTGAATAACTAGAAATTTATAGACATTGAAGCATGACCATTATTACTTCATATTACAAATAAAAATTCATTTGAAATATGTCATTGATCTAAATATAAGAGCTAAAACAAAAATTTTCCAGGAAAGTTAAAAGCCAGTCTTTGGAATCTTGTGCTGACAAATATTCTTTAATAGGACACAAAAGAACAAATTAATCACACATATTTGCAGAAAATTCTACTGGACAGGAATGTCTTATATTAGGCATCAATAAAAAATACTCCCTGCACAAGTCCCTCCTGCCACCTGTTTTTGTATAGTATGTGAGCTAAAAGTATTCACATTGAACAAATGCAAACAAGAAATAGTATTTTTGAAACAAACATTTTATAGGAAATTTACATTTGTTTCCATAAAACTTGGAACATATCAATCTTCATTCATTTGCAGATTGTTTATGACTGCTTTCATACTACAATAAGAGATGTCAAGTATTGCAACAGAAACCACATGGCCGGAAAATCTAAAATATTTACTATCTGGCCCATTACAGAAACAGTTTGCCAACTCCTGTCTCAGACTATTATCTCCAGCTAGATAAATGGATCCAGCCTGTAGCAGAAAAACACATGTATCTGATATGTAAAGAGGGTAGAATTGGCCACACAGTGCTGCATTTTTCTGTACTGGGCTATTCCATGAAGAAGGGATTCAATGGGTGATTCCCTTGGGCTCTGGTTTCTCAGGGCTCAAAAGACAACAGGCACAGCATGAGCTGCCCTGCAGGGGGGTGAATGAAGAAGCTCATCAGATGCAGCGTTCCCCTCCAGCAGTTCACCAAAGCTGATGTAGTGAACTGGGGAGACTGGCAGCTCCTACCTGATTCTTCGGTATATTTCTCATTTAGTTAGTTATAGGAGGAGAAGTAAGTTTCATTACTATTACCCTCAGACCCTAATTTTGAGAAACAAAAGTCTTCTCCTGGTTACCTCCTGTGTTTGTGATAACAGAGTGCATTGAAGTTTTATCTCCTGTACTAAATCAGTGACCATTAGGGTAAGCCCCATAATCTCTCAGTAAATTATCAATTCTGTCTTCTTCAAAAGATGACATTAGTAATTACAACCTTACCAATATCATTCCTTTTTCCCCTTGAAAATACAACTTTCAGTTATATTATTTTTTATTTTACTAATCATATGTATTGGTTTTAATTGGGAAAAGTAGGTTTGAGATGGCAACTGGAGTGTCTGGATAAATACAGAAACCATGTGATAGAAGGCATTGTAAAGCTGCCAAGACAAAAATTGGTCTCAAGGTTCCAGAGGTAGGAGAACCTCAGAGAGCTAAGCTAACACTGACACTCAATTTTCGACTGGGTTCACATTATGTCCAATTCTGAATCATGACAACAGGTGTTATGTCATTATGACTGCCTATGGGAGAGGAATGAATCTTTCTTTGAAGAATATAAACCTCTGAAATTCTGCAATTTCTTATATATAGTATCTGGTATTTAACCAAAAGTCATCAAGTATTTCAAAGATACAACTAAGTGATCGCAAGAAGAAAAGTGGGGAGAGGGAACGGCAATAAAATCAGACTCGCATTAGGAAACTTTTCTCACCTAGTTTTGTAAGGCTGGCATAATCTCAATTTCAAAAATCTTGAAAATTCCAAGAAAGAAAATTATAAACCAATCTCTTGTGAATGTAAACACTGAAGTCCTAAACAACATGAAGAAGGTCAATTCATCTCTATGCGCATACTTATTTCTATTTAGTGAGGAATGTAAGCCCAATACATATAATCTGATGTTGTGTGGATATTTGTCCCCTCCAAATCTCATGTTGAAATGTGATTCCCAATGTTGGAGGTGGAGTCTGGTGGGAGGTATTTAAGACATGGGGGTGAATTCTTCTTGAGTGGCTTAAAGCTCTTCTCATGATACTAAGTGAGTTCATATTCTGTTAGTTCACACACGAGCTGGTTGTTTAAAGTCACTTCCACTCCTTTTTCTCTTACTCCCTCTCTTGCCATGTGACATGCTTGCTTCCCCTTCACCTTCTTCCATGATTGAAAGCTACCTGAAGTCCTCACTAGGAGCAGATGCCTGCCCCCACTATGCCTTTTGCACAGCCTGCAAAACCATGAGCCAAAATAAAACTCTCTTATTTATAAATTACCCAGTCAAAGATATTCCTTTATAGCAATGGAAACGGACTAACACACAAGTATATAGATGCAGAGAATTGATGTGATAAGATTTTACACACAATTATGACATCTATATATGATAGCAAACTTCTCTAATCTGATAAAAAAATCTACCAAAATATACTTCAAGCATCATTCTCAATATTGAAATGGAAAACTTTCACTGTTTCCTGCAGATTAGAAATGAGAAACAAGGATCCCCACTGTCACCAATTCTATTCAACACTCTCCTAGAAATTCTAGCCAATGCAATAATTAATGCAATAAAGAGATGTTAAGCCCATGAGAAATGGAAAATAAGAAATAAAACAATATTAACCCAGATACAGTATAATTACACAGAAATTACAATGAATCCAGAAATAAATTATGAACAGTGATTAGTAAATTTAGCAAAGTTGACAAATTAACATCATCAGAATGACAAAAACTAATTATATTCCAAAACAAAAATATTAATTATCTAGGGAAAACCAAAGACTTGAAAACCATGACAACAAATAACAACATTCCTGGGAAAATAAAAGAAATCCCAAATAAATTGGAAGCATAATTATATTCAGGAATGGAAAGACGCAACATGTCAAGATTCAGTTCTTTTCAAACTGATCTATAAATTTAATGTCACCCTGACAGAAATTCTAGCCCAATGTTTTGGGAAATTGACAAACAAATGCCTTTAAAATTTATCTGGAAACATAAGCACCTAAGAGTAGCCAAACCAATCTTGAAGAAAGATAATAAATCTGGAAAACACACACTGCCAGACACCAACACCTGTTACAAAACTTTGTAGCCCCAAACTGGAAACAACACAAAGTCCAATTAAACTGCCAGACATGTGAGTTATGCACTTCCCTCACCAGGTGATAGTAGAGGATAAGAATGATACTATGAATTTGGGGACTTCAAAAACATGGAGTTGCAGTGTAGGAGAAACAAACTTACCTTGGGGATGAGGTAGTTTCTGAATTTAACATCACAGGTCACTGCATGGGGCAGGTTGGTAGGGAGGAGGTCAATGTATCTCTGGACCTCATGCACCACAGCATCTGTGTAGGGCATGTGGCTCCTGTCCTGCATGCAGGGGCTCCGGTTTCTGCCAATCACACGTTCAATCTCTTCCTGGACTTTAGCTGATAAGACACAAGTAAAAACTGATGGAAAAGGAGAAAAATGGCACATTTGTTGTCGCAATTCAGGGGTACATGAATCATGATAAAGGTATCCAAACATCATTAGAAATTTAAATTATAGTGCTGGAAGTATATGCAAATGTAAAGAGAGGGCTGTTACAGATGCACAAATGTGTAACTACCATAAACTAGGCATTAAGAAAAATCTGTACATATACAAGCAGAGAAAATTATCTTCAATAAAGGAAGACGGGAAAGATTGAAAGAAGGAAGAGAAGTCCACAAAACAACCAGAAAACAAATAACAAAAGGGCAGGGGTAAGTCCTTACTTATCAATAATAACACTGAATGTAAATGGGCTAAAATCTCCAATCAAAAGACATACTGACTGGATGGATAAACAAGACCCATTAATCTGTTGCCTAAAAGAAACACACTTCACTTATAAAGATACACATAGGCTGAAAATAAAGGAATGGAATGAGACAGTACATGCCAATAGAAACGAAAAAAAAGCAAGAGTTACTATATTTAAAGAAGACAAAGTAGATTTCAAAACAAAAACTATAAGAAGAGACAAAGAAGATCACTATTGGTGATAAATTAGTCAGCTTGGCAAGAAGATGGAACAATTTTAAATATGTATGCAACCAATAATGGAGCACCCAGATATATAAAAGAAATACAATTAGAACTAGAGAGAGATAGTCCCCAGTACAATAATAGCTGGAGACTTCAACATCCCACTTTCAGCATTGGACAGGTCATCTAGATAGAAAATCAACAAGGAAACATTCAACTTTATCTGCACTATAGACCAAATGGATCTAATAGATATTTGCAGAATATTTTATCCAACTGCTACAGAATACACATCCTTTTCCGCAGTACATGGATTGTTATCAGGAATTGACCATATGTTAGGTCACAAAACAAGTCTTAAAATATGCAAAGAAACTGAAATAATATCAAGCATCTTCTCTGACCACAGTGTAATAAAACCAGCAATCAATAACAAGAGGAATTTTGGAAACTACACAAATAAATGGAAATTTAAAAATATACTCATAAATGGAGAGTGGGCCCATGAAGAGATTAAAAAGGAAATTGAAAAATTTCTTGAAACGAATTTTAATGGAAACACAACATACCAAAACCAAGGGGCTATAGCAAGACCAGTACTAAAAGAGAAGTTTATAGCTACAAGAACTTATATCAAAAATGGAGAAAATAGACAAATAAACAATCTAATGATGCATCCTAAATAATTAGAAAAGCAGAAGCAAATTAAACCCAAAATTAATAGAAGAAAAGGAATAATAAAGATCAGAGCAGAAATAAATAAAATTTAAATGAAGAAAAACAAAAGATCAATGAAACAAAAAGTTGCTTTTGAAAAGTTAAACAAAATTGACAAACCTTTAGCCAGACTAAAAAAAAAAAAAAAACAGAGTAGATTCAAATAAATAAAAACAAATTAAAAAGGAGGCATTACAACTGATACTGCAGTTACTATAAGCAACTATATGCCAATAAATTGGAAAGTCTAGAAGAAATGGACAAATCACTAGACGAATATGACCCATCGAGTTTGAACCAGGAAAAAATCCAAAACCTGAACATGCAATGACAAATGAGAAAGATCAAATGAGAAATAAAAAGTATCCCAGTAAAGAAAACCCCAAGACTGGCTAGCTTCACTGCTGAATTTTACCAAACATTTAAAGAAGAACTAATACCAATCCTATTCAAACTATTCCAAAAAATAAAGGAGAAGAGAATACTTCGAAACTCATTCTGTGAGACCAGTATTACCCTGATACCAAAATCAGACTAAGACACATCAAGAAAAGAAAACTACAGGTCAATACACCTGATGAACACTAGTGCAAATATCTTCAACAAAATACTGGCAAACCAAATTCAGCAATACAATAAAAAGGTCATTTACAATGACCAAGTGGGATTTATCCCTCGGATGCAAGGATGGTTCAACATGTGCAAATCAAGCAGTGTGATGTATCATATCAAAAGAATGAAGGATAAAAGCTATATGATCATTTCAGTTGATGCTTAAAAAGTATTTGATAAAGTTTAACATCCCTTCCTGATAAAAATTCATTTAAAAAAACTGAGATAGAAGGAACATACCTCAACATAAAAAAGCTATATGACAGACCCACAACTAGTACTACACTGAATGGGGAAAACCAAGAGTATTTCCTCTAAGATCAGGAACACGACAAGGATGCCCACTGTCACCATTGTTATTCGTCATAGTACTGGATGACTCCAGTAAGAGCAATCAGACAAGAGAAAGATATAAAGGCTATCCAAATTGGAAAGGAAGAAGTCAAAATATCCTTGTATTCAGATGATATAACCTTATATTAGGAAAAACCTAAAGATTCCACAAATTAAATATTAGAACTAATGAACAAATTCAGTGAAGTTGAAGGATACAAAATCAACATAAAAATCAGTAGTGTTGTTATATGCCAACAGTGAACAAAAAGAAAAACAAATTTTAAAAGTAATCCCATTTACAATAGCCATAAGTAAAATTAAATACTTAGGAATTAATTTAACCAAAGAACTGAAAGATGTCTAAAATGAAAACGATAAAACA